CAGCGACAGCACAAGGTTGGTAATAAGGGCAAGTATGGGGGGACGTGACTTGGCATTTTGAGCCTCACCGGGGACGAAGAGCAATCGTTTGCGACACTTATCCCGGCATTGTTTTGCTGCTTGGGGCTTCTCATCAATACATTCAACTTTCATTCGATCCAGAATGACAAGATGCGCCACTCTTTCACTTTGTACATTGTGACGTCGAAACATCATCCTTCCACGCCTCAAGTTGACCTGCTAACAACGATACCAAGCGGGAGTACAGGTATCACGGCCTGGTACGTCTTTCCAAGTACTACCAAACATTGTGTATCACCCCTCATCGGCGTTGAGTTACACCATACTGCGAAGTTGCACTGTGAACAGCCTGCAACATTGACATTTGCTTCTTTTGTCTAGTCTTTCATACCGTCCACAACATTTGATTCGGATTTCAAGCACCCACAACGACAACTCCAAAACTTCTCAACTTCACTATGAGAACAGCTCACTTCTCTACAGCCGCCTGTAAATGCAGCACCCTGCGCGCGTCCAGGCGCAGACTGGAAAGACTTCATGCATTGAGTCTAGCCTACCCCCGCCACCAAACTGTCCCATCCCTTACAGCCGACTGGACAGTAGACAGCGTTACTACAAACTGTTATACACGTGGACGTCCTTATGCAGCTTCTGACCCTGTCATAAAGTATAGCCTGGCAGTGAGCGTCCTTGCAATCGGCATTATCGCCGCCATTGAACCGGCAACCGGCGTCGGTATAGCTGCGGTTCTCGCGGTCACCGTCCTCATCGTGGGATAAGACTGTTCTCTCTGCGGCTGCAAGGCTGGAGTTGTACGTGCTGGTGTTGTAGACAACGTCGAGAGGACATAATGATTATGTAAAGTCAATGTATCATGATGATACCCTAGATATGCATTGCTCTTTAATCTTAACTACCATCGTAAGCGTCGACTCTTTGCCGTTCCATATAGCCTCATCGACCTAGATCCCCTTGGCTACCGTGGTTGAGTATGGAGATGACCATTCCGATGAACAGCCCTGGCAAACCACTGTTACCAACCTACCAACCCACTAATCTACACACCTAAAGGGTCCCGCGAAGACTTGGAGCTCGAGCGCGAAGCCCGGAAGATCAACCTAGATCTTTGCGTTCATTCCCCATCTCATGACTTTCACTCCTTGTGAAGTGGAAACCACTGTGACCTCGAAGTACGCGGTCGTTCATGCACAGCGCAAACTCACTGCTGCATGCAAGCAACAAGCAAGGAACCAGCACCTCGATACTTGCCACTAACGCTCCCCTCAATCTATATAACGACTCGGTCTCTGAGCCTCACCAAGTGTTCACCCCATTTGCTCTCCTCAACCACTAAACCACCATACGACTTTCATCCATCAACCACCGCACCACCCAAACCTCAATCCATATTCCACCCACAATGCCAGGCTTCACATCCTTCTACCTCAAAGGCCGCATGGCCAACGCCACCGCACCCCAAACCGACTTCGCCTACGACTCCGAACCTGATTTCGAAACTCTAGCATCAAAGAAACATCATCTCCAGCTACAGAAACGGCTTGCCCGCCAAGTAACAAGCATCTACGGCACCGTCATAACGCGCTCTGACGCCAACCAAACTTTGACGCTGCTAAAAACCGTAAAGTCGCATATCGACGCACAAGTGGAGGTATTCCACGACTTGGGGTTGATGTCGCTGATCGAGCGGGGCAAGGCTATCGAGTTGTTTGTAAAGAAGAGCCAGGGTGTTTATCAAGATGGGTCACGAGCGGTGCAGAAGTTTAGGTCGGCGCAGGGGCCTGTTGGAGATGTTGCGGAGGGGCTTGGGCTGTTGGGCAAATACAAGGGTGCTAAGAACGGGGAGTTGGAGATGTGGGATGTGGAGTGCATGGTGGTGATTTATCAGAGGAGGATTTTGAAGCCGTTGAAGGAGGTGGTTAGGGAGATTGAGAAGGTGGTTGGGAGGGAGGAGGGGTGGACGGACCCGCAGTAGTTGAGCAGCTCCCAGGCTGATTCAAACGCGTTTTATATCTTTGCATGGCAGTATGGGTGAAGCGTTCGTGTAAATTGGAAGCGGCGTCTCTGGTACCTAGGTAGTTTTGGCTAAAACTGCAATTCTCGCTGTGCTGGAACCAACTGTGCTTTTGAAGCAAGTTTTCTCACTAAAATGGAACATCTGATCCATGTATCATCAGCGAACTACTATGTATTGCGCAAACCTTTTGCCTGCTTGCTGGGACAAACCGAAGACCGCGGACTCAACCAATGATGACGTGGATGTGGGGCACACAGCGAATCCGGTTAGCGGCATGGGGAGAACCGCTGCGCCAGCATCTGCGCAGCTGTCGTGCAACCTTCAACATCACATCACATCACATCGTGCCGCCTGCTACGCCTTGATCAACTGATGTCTACGCCGTATCTCGGTTCCCGGAAGCTGCATCGGCCTGAAACATCCTTCCCGATCGCAGAGCCGCGCCGTACCGGCTTACCCATCCCACGATGTCCTACTGTACGGCGCCTCGATGTCCTCACCTGGAAGACTGCTCGGGTCTTTCCAATGCCGTCTCCGATTGACTGATCGGCTTGATGAAGGGTCTACCATACAGATCTCTCTGACGCGATTGTGACGAGCTTGTCGCTCAGTGCTGCTGATGTCAGAAGCGAGCATACTGTTGGTGGAGTCGACTTCAGCAACCACGGTCCATTACAAGAGCAAGGGATGCGCCACTTATCTCGTCGACATGTTGACTTTTACGCCTGGAATCTTAAGAGGCGTAACTTGATGTAGTGAGTAGGTTCAGAACAGGACGATGCGAACTCCCAGCCTGTGGGATTGCTCCACTGCCCTGCACAGTAGCGGTTTTCATCTCGCTATGCGACGGATGCGATTGTGATTGTGAAACGATCTGCAGCAAGCGACGTTGTTGATGTGCTGGAGCGGCGTAGAAGCGCGAATGCCACCGCAGTGTTGGTCTCAGCCCCGGTGTCGGTTAAGAAACATATTGCTGTGTACACACATTTTTGACTACAGGCCCTCTAATTCAGCCTAGGATGGTTAGATCTTGGGAGCCTACAGGATAAAGTGCTAGAGGACGCACTACCTACCTGTGAGCTTGTTGATCCGCTCCGACCAATAGAGGTCGCGATAGTCCACAAGAGCGTTATACCTATAGGGCTCTGTTTTAAGAAAATCCTAACAAGCTTCGCTAGCGACGCTGTACAATCTAATAGCTTTGCCGCTAGATCTAGCGCTAAGTCGTACCATCTGCGCGGCATATAGTGCCACTGATGTCGATGCACCGTAGATAAGAACGTTGGTTGTATCAGGTCCATCTGCTTGGTTGTATGTGGCTTCTCAGTCTGGGTGCTCTTGAAAGACTTCGTCGCGATCGTAAGCAAACGGAGCTTTCAGGCCCAGCCGGTACCATATCGCTTGTGCGGCCGTGAGATCTACGAGGCTCACACCAGCAGCCTGCTACACGGTGACTGGCTTGGGTATTCTCCAGACTAGATCCCACAGCGCGACAACAAGTACTGCGAATGCACCTGGCCGGTCATTGACGCTGCAAGCACCTTGCAAGAATCCTCCGACCTCATCGCCGACGCAAAGGTTCGCCTCCACGGGCACATCGCAACCTGCTCCGACTACGACTCCTGCGAAGTCGCTTCTAACGGTGCGTCCGGAGCTACCCAGTGGATGCGCAATGTATAGTGGGTCAACAGGGTTGAGCGCTATGGCTCTTACCTGGATAAGCAACTCGGTTGGTGATGGTACCGGCTGCAGTATATCGCGAATATACGCCGTTCGAGCTTCGGTTGCGAGCACGAGGGCTTTCATCCTTTTTGGCGCTGGCTCGTTTGAGTATGGGTAGGCTATACGAAATCGAGGCAGGTTGGGGGACTGAATTTCCTCGCGTGTCTTTGAGCTAATGCCTACTGCGACGGCCTCGATCAAGGCCCTTTTGTAGGAAGAAAGATGTGTGCATGTAATGCTAAAGGGCGTGTGTTACTAATGCCGTGCAGGGTAAGCGATGTTCAGCTGGGAGCAACCTATCATAGGCAGGGCGATGTAATGGTGCTCTCAAGTCGAACATCGATTACGAAATGCTCTTCAACAGTCACAGGCGATTTCATGGAGTCATGCTTTTCGTCTTAGATTCTTCCAGTCGGCTACCCGCACGGTACTGCAGACAGCTAGCGCCTGCACTGTGCGAAGTCTAGGACTATATCTTGGTCCTTGTCCCTTCTTTCTTAATCTCTTCAACCATCCACCCGATCACTCATCACATCATACATTCGTCGGACTGTAACGCCGAGTTCCCACCTACGTCGACGCACCACGACTACGACTTCGTGTTTGAAGACGACACCGACGCCGCGAGTTTGATGTACGAGGCCTATGGGCGCGCGAAAACCTCCACGCTGCGGTATGTCGTAGCACTGGAACCAATATGTAGGAATTGAAGAATACGAGGCTCGGCCCGTTGGCGGCACGAAACATCCGATGCACCTCCACTCTATGTGAAGATGTGATGTGGCTTTGCGCACCCGCAACCCCTGTCTAGTCCGTTTCAAGACCATCCAGACCGCAAATCCCATGAGACTGCGTAATTGGTGGTACGTGTTTGTGGATCACCTACTCCTTCTCATATAAATGGAAAAACACATTACCGTGATGGAAGTGGCAGGGGATGAGAATGGAGTTGGAGTTGTATAAGATACTTGATCGCTGTGGCCAAGCAAACCCGCTTCACACCATACTCACAACACCACACGCTCGTTACCCAGCATCTACATCAAAATGATGTTCACCAATTACTCTGTCGCAGCAGCCTTTATGCTCGCCACAGCCGTCACCGCAACCCTCGACCCTGCAACCTCCAACACAAACGGCAGCTACCCATCAGCACCATCCTGCTCCCGTAAGCTCTCACGCCTTTCCACCCTTACCATCCCATAAACTAACCCCCTCATAGCCATCAAAACAAGCAAAGCCATCCAAGCCGCAGAATGCAGCCACAACACCCGCACGTCCGGCCAGACCTTTGCCGTCTTCACCCAAGACCACCAGTACGACGGTAACCACGGGTACCCGTACGGCACATGTGAAGCGTATAACTGCGCGCCGGGAAGTGCGATGAAGAAGAAAGCGGGGACTTGGACGTTCTTTTGGGCGAAGGCGGGGGTTGAGGGAGAGGAGGAGGGAGATGGCGCGGGGTGTATTAAGAGTCCGAAGGATGGGAGTTGTGGGTGTGAGAATTCGGATGGTACGTTCGTTTACAAGGGGACGAACTGCAAATAGGCTCATCAATAATTCTTGAGGGTCGGGCTGGTCAAGGCGTTCTGTATTTTCGTTCGAGTGTACATATTTGCGACGAGTCTCATCAGAATGGATTTCGTGAACTTTGGTAGGAAATGCGAGCTTGGGAAGAGTTTCTGATGACCTCACTGTACTTGTGTTGTCATATAATTAGGTGACTCACCGCAGGATCAAGCACATGCACTCTTTCCGATGTACTTTTGGTATTCTCGTCCGCAGTATGTGGTTGCCTCAACTTTGGCACAAACTCTGACTGTAATAGAACTAGCACAGAAAGACTGGAGAAGGCACATGAGCAGGCTTTGGCGTGATTTTGAGTCTCTTCGCTCCCAAAATGCTTCCCATAACAGTTCTTTCGCGTATTTCGATTTGCGACTCAACGAGACAACGCCACGAGGCTGGACGGATTGATATTTAAAAGTTCGGAAAAACAGAACAACATCATTTGTCGCATAGGTCTTTTTGGTATGGAAAGCGGAAGCTGTGATGAAGGACGAAGGAGGTAAGGTTATGGACGCACGACTTATATATGTGCGTAAGAGCGCTTTGACAGTCTAGGCGACATACATAATGGCACATCCAGATTTGAGCGTGGACAACTGAGTATGGAGTATCGGGATACTTCGAGCTCATGTGAATCTCCTAACGAAGTTTTGAACACTGGGCAGCATATCCCAGTCTATCAAGGCTTCTGACAGCAGAGCCGAGCCATGAGCGTAAAGCATCCGTCCTTTCAGTGGTAATTTGAAGCGCCGACACTCGAGACTTACGGCTGAGTTGCTCGGAGGACATGTTGGGTTTGAATGAAATCTTGGACGAAGCAAAACGCTATATAGCCGTTTAGTGTGTTCTTTTGGTGGAATCTGAGTCGGCAACATAACCTTGACTTCTAGGTATTTTGGTGTCGAATGATGGGGAAGAAGTTGAAGAAGGAGAGTCCGGAAGCACGGAAAATATATTTATGTAGTGACCTCTAGGCGTAAGCTTGGTCCATCGTGTTCTTTTCCTAGCCCCAGTACCCAAACATGAGGAAGGCATGTTTGGTTTTGTGACATTTTTGCGCTTGGCGTCAGGATAGATCATGCGCAGAGTGATACCAAGTTTGGAGTGAATAACCTCAGAGGCGAGAGAATTTTACATGACGGGTGCGAATACCATATTTTTGTCAGATTCGGTGGTCTTCTTCCCAACATCACAACAATCGTTGTCTTGTTCAATCGAATGCAAACAACAATGAGCTTTTGGATATGGTAATTTTAGCCGTCCACAAAGACACAACAGCGCAGCCGAAACATGTACTCCCTCACGAGCTGTTTCTGGTGCCAGAGGAGACAGCAGACATGTAGCGGTGGACAGATACTTTTGATGAAATGCGAAGAGTGTTGGAGAGGAGTGGTGAGCAGAGGTCCTACTGTGCAGGACGTGGCTTTTGTAGGCGGAAGCGTCAGGTAGTCGGGGTGCTTTAGCGCCGGGCAAACAACATACGACGATGGTCGTGCGATTTTGGAAGCAGCACATGCGCTATAGAGTCTCCGCGTTTTGTAAGTTCGTTCAGAACTGCCGCAGTCGCATGAAGGAAACAATTCATATTTTCGATATGCCGTCCGCCGGCGAAGTCATCACAGCTTTCCAATTCCTTTTGGAAGTTTTTAGAAAAGATGGAGAGGAAAGCGGGACATGTCTTGGTGTGAGTGGTCTTTTGAGAAGAGCAGAGAGAGCAGCGGACATAGAATGCCACTGCCACTATTTTTGGTAATGAGAATGTGGGAAGTGATTTGTAGAGAGGAAGAATGAAGTGCGAAGTTGGAGGCCTTATATAGAGAATTTCGGGAGGTGTGCACGTGCAAAAGTGCAATAAGCGTTGAGTTCAAAAGAGTATCGATCTGAAGCCATGGGCAATATTGCGAAATGCGAAAACGATCAGCCACGGTCTGCCATGTGTTGATTGCAAGTGACTAAATCCAAGCGCTATCCCGCGCATAGAAAGCCCGCTTCAACTCCAACCCAAAACTCAGTATGCCATACTATCGTACCCCAAGATGCAGAGCACTCCTTCATCATCACACCTCTGGTATCTTCCCCCTCATCCCCGGCGGCAACAACGCATCCGCCTTCCTCGCAGCATCTACCTCCTCAGCAGTCGGCTCCTGTGGCACATCGACGATAACGCTTGGGTCTTTCGATCGCGAAGCCAGCATCGCGGCGCGTTTCTAGTCGCATATGTCAGCTTGGTACTTTCGACTATCAAGTCTACGATGCGTCCAGCCACAATCGCGCATTGCGCCTCATATCGAGGTTATGGAGATTGGTGGATGGATATGAACATACCTCCCTAACCCCCCTCCCCGCCCCCACCCCCTCACCCAAAAACTCCGCATCAATCCCCTCCGCATCATCCAGCGACCGCATCGAGCCTCTCACGCCCCCCAACCCATCTCCCATACCACCTACCTCTCCCGCTGTACTCATACGCCTCCTCAGCTCCTCAGGCGTTATCGCGCCGCCGTCCAACTCGACCGGCGCATCGTTTATCGCGGGCGTATTCGTGTCGATCAACGGAGTTTGGCTGGAGACTGCCGGACTGGTTTTATGCGGGAAGGTAGAGGTGCGGGAGACGGGGGAGATGGGGTCGCCTGGTGGTGGTGGGGAGATGGTTGAAGTTGAGGTGGGAGGGGGAGGAGAGATGGTGGGTGGTGGGTTTGACATTGTGTGTATGGCGAAAGGAGGGAGTCGCGATGGCGGTATCTGAGGTACAAAAAGATCTTTGAAGAGGCCTCGTAGTGATGATGGTATGCGCAGTCCTCAGCGTCGTCGCGTCGCTCTCACGGCTGTATGTCGAAAGGTAAGGTGCGTGACGAGCAGACGTGCGCAGACGTACGTAGGCGGCACAGCTGCCTTGTGTGCAACCCAAGCCTCAGGCAGGCCCGCCTTCCGCAGCCTCACGGCCAAACAAAAGCCCGCGAGCGCGTAAGCAAGTCGTGACCGCGATGACGTTTGACAGCCCACGCGCCGGCAATTCAGGGTCCAGCGGTTCAAGTGGGGCAGCAACGCGGCGCGGCAGCTGGCCGGGGTCGATGTCTTGGTATGGACCTTGATCGTCGCCGTGCTATATCGGGATACGAAGTGGGCGAGGACGCCACAAGGCAGGTCAAGAAGATTTTAGTTGGCAAAAGAAGATGAGAAAATCTGGGTATATGTGGGGATTTGAAACAGGCGCAAAGGCTGAGCTGAGTTCATTCATGTTTTCCATCGCAGCGCGGGGCACATGGGTTGCTGCGCCTCCTTCCTCCCGCCCTTTTGTACATCCAATAGCTGACGGGTATCTAGTAACACCACGAAGCTTCGGCCCCCGAAAGTACAGACCATGCAAATACATACGGCGCTCAAGTTACATAATCATAGGCTCGTTACCCGCTCGCAAACAACGTAAGAGCGAGAAGTACTAGTTAGACTGCTTCGGCATCAGGAATCCCATGGTATATGCTTCACCAGAGTTCGTCTTCGTGGAATCAGCCTTGTTGCTGTCAGCCATCAGAAGTATGCAGTGAAGTGTGGTAGAGAGTACTTACGCCCATGTAGACATCCTGCCCGAACATGTTTGCTCGGTTGCCTTGGATAGGTTGCTGGCTCGGTGTCTGTCCTGTGGCTGGCATCCCGTTTTGCTCTGTTTGCATAGGCATGCTACCAAGATCCATGGGGAAGAAGTTGTTGGTCGCTTCCATGCCAGGATTAGGACCTTGGATGTACGAGTCCCATGCGTCCTAGTCATGTTAGCAGAGTGATACTGGCGGAATTGTGAGGATGACGTACCCAGTTGATGTTGTCTGTCGGCGGGAGATCTAGATTTTGGAACAGATTCGCTCCGAACAGGTTTGAGAACGGACTTGGTGCATTCTCTGGGCCTGTTGGTCCGCTTGTCGGCTGGTTGTATTGTGGTGTCAAGCCCGTCGACGGCTGAGGCATAGGGTCGTTTAGTAGATTGGCCATACCGGCAGGGTATCGCTGATCGAACATGTTGGCATTGGGCGTCATGCCGCCTGTGCTGAGTAGACCCAGTGTCATCGCTGCCGAATGTTCAGGTGCTACATTGGCGTCTTCCATTGGTGCCATTGTCGGGTATGCGGATGTAGCTGCTTGGAAGCCATTGGGCGTCTGTTTGGCTACCCGGTTCTTCTTGAGTTGATCCAGCATGACACTGAGCGTGGTGTGCGCTTTGTACGCTTCCATGGAGTGATCTTTCAGACCATCCCAGATGCCCACCGCTATCTCTATAGCTTCGAGCATCTCCTCGCAACGATCTGAACTCCACACGAGTGTGTCTCCTGACGGTGGAGATCGAGATGGCGCTTCCCTAGCAGTGTGGTAGAGATCAGAAGAGATGATCATCGCTGCAAGAAGGAAGTCGACAGTGGTCAGCGATGAGATGAACCATTTGACGTTGCGCAACCGACCGCCGGCCTGGCATTCCCGGTGCAAGGTCGCTTGGTGCTTGAGAAGCATCATCGAGGCTTCGATAACCGCTTTCCTGGAGTAGGCAAAACGTGATTGTACTCTCGCATAAGACAGGTACTTTCGATGCAGTACGCATATGATCTTTAGGAAGAGGAGATCTAGTGTGAAGCGTTGCATGATCAAGGTAGAAGGGTCGCGCGCCGCTTCATCCATCCCTCGCATCTTGAGATGCGGCGAGATGTTGTCGTGTAGCTCTCGAGCTTCCGCGTCTAGCTTCATGACCTCTTCGTACGAAGAGCATGTCAGAGTATCGGTGCATTCGACCGCTTCTCCGAGCTTGTAGATCAATCTTGTCCGATTGATGAGAAAGAGTGTAGGTGTAGCTTCGGTTTCCGGTCTCGAAGGAGGCAGTATCTTCATGTCTTTGTGGAGTTCATCGTCGTAAATATTCCGCGGTATCTCAGTGTTGGTATCCCGCGGTCGGACGATGGGCGGCAACCCAGCCTGTGCGGAGAACAGCAGATCAAATG